GACAGGAGGGAAAGGAATGGATACGGTCTTTAGGGGTACTAGTAGATACTAGCATTTCAGGGACATCAGAGCAGGGTGTGAAATCAGAGCTAGTGCTTTTAATTTGATCGTTGGAGGTCGAAATCGACCGTTTTTGGCAAAACACTGAAGTCATGCCTAATCTCGTCCTCAGTCACACGGAGCAGCATTTGAAGGGCCGGGCACCGTCACGCCCCGAAGAATTGAACGACCGTCTCAGTCCAAGCATCCAGCGGGTGGTTTCGGTCCATGGGATGCTCTAGGGTCCGAGGAGTTTTGGTCGATGAACGAAACATCTCAAACTGCCACACCCAGTCCTTGTGATATGGACAGGGAGAAACATAGGTTGCAACCGAAAGTAGTGTTCTTGTAAGGGCAACGCTGTTGTCTTTGCTAGAATCTTTGTTTCCCTACTGCGAAAATAACAATATAAGTATGGTATGCATTCCCCTCCCCATCAGCCTACCAGTCAAAACCGTGACCTGGTAGCTATGTACATTCGTTTAGTTTGCATTGAATTAAAGATGCTTATAATATGCTATACTGCTATAATTGGACTGAAGGGCAATAGTGGTGTTAGTCAACAAGAGAGCAGATCAAACAACCTGGCAGACCAGGAGCCCCATACCGAACATCTTCCACTGAATGATATCTTCGTGCGTACATATATAATTACAAGGCATTACAAGGCATTCTTTCATTTTATGTATGTCAAGTCGACTGAGGCACGGCGCCTTGGTTGTGGCTGCGGCTGCGGCGCTAACAAGTATGGGACTTGTCCCAGTGCATGTGGATGCGGATGCGGATGTGGATGCGGTGCCACTTGTGGATGTGGGTGCGGCACTACTACAACCGGATGTGGATGCGGTGCCACTTGCGGCTGCGGGTGCGGCACTACTACAACCGGATGTGGATGCGGTGCCACTTGTGGATGTGGGTGCGGCACTTCTACAACCGGATGTGGGTGTGGCACGACTTGCGGCTGCGGGTGCGGCACTTCTAATACAACCGGATGTGGGTGCGGTACGACTTGCGGCTGCGGGTGTGGCACGACTTGCGGCTGCGGGTGTGGCACGGCTTGTGGCTGCGGGTGTGGTTGCGGAACCGGCTACCAATGCAAAGGTCAAATGTTTTGTCACCTGGGCATGACCAAGAACACCAGTGCCATGCAGCCCGTGAGTTTGTCGCAATGCAACTTGCACGCCAGTTCGCCACCCATCACCATCGATGACAAGCAGGACATTGACAGGGAATTTGGACGAATTTGGGAGAGGATTACTAATGTATAATGATTGCTATATATATAACATCTGATCTACAATATGAAAATTGAGGAAATTCCTCAAAGCGGTAAAAGGGAGGAATACTTACCAGATGCCCATTTGAGGATGTTTGAGGTGTTCTCTGGAAACACACCTACACACCCTAATACGAACATGTTCAGCCTGACATGTTCAACTGATTGTTCTGTAACCACATGATTTCGCACCAGTGCTGGGCGCACCGAGCACTGAACTTGTCAACTTTTTGAGTGGGAAAGTGCAACTACACTAATGCGAACCGGCGAGCATGTTCGGTTCGCGCGTTGGTTGGATCGACCTGGGTAATTCGCCCATTGGCCACGGCTCACATTGCACGGAATCTCCAAGAGTGAGCCCACAAGCCAGCTGAGCTTGTACCAGCACAGGCTAAAACATATGAAAACATTAAACACGGGGATTGGAGAGCATGTCAAGGCAGGCAATTTGGATGGAGAAGGGAACTGCATGTGTTTCCTCCCAAGTGTGTGCTCCATGTGGATGTGCGTGGTCATTTTCCCCACGTAATTGCTGAACAGCTTGGTGTACCCTCCTCGCGGCATGGCGTACCTGGACCACCAAAAACGATATGACCATACTCATCCGACCATACTGACCGACATTTGTGTGTCCAACAAAAGCATTCCACCAAATCGGCCCACCCAAAAATCCGTAGGACTTCAGCGCATCCCGGCGGCATCGGGTTCCGGGGATGACTGAGAGGTTCCAGGGATGGATTCGGAGGCATCGGTCCGGGTTGGTGTCAGCTCGCCGGCTTGATACGTGATTAGCGGTTTTGGGATCGCCGCCAGCATAGAGTTTTCGCTATACTAGCTGGCTGGAGTCCAAAATGGGATGTTTGAGGGAGAAGCATGGACGGCTTCCCTGTGTGTCAGAGCTTCAGGTTGAAATGTGCCGAGATTGAGTTCCTCTCGCTTGATTTTGGTGCACCTCTCCTCACTCCTCCAAACGCTGGGTTCACTCCCCACATCTCCCAGCGATCGCCGGATGACCTCGCCTGTCTCACCGGTCTTCCTGCATTGGTGACCTGGGTGAGCTGGGTGCGGGGGCAGAAAACGGTCACAGGGTGTCGACCTCTCCGCTGCCCTTCGCGGAGAAGTCGGACTCATGTCGCGCCTCGTTTGGTCGTCCCGGGTTTGATAGGATGGGGTGAGTGGGCTGATGGCAGGAGTGCATCTGAGGAATATTCCCTGACCTTCGAGAACGGCCGGATGAAGGTCTCCGCGCATCGGGCCTTCAACACTGGAGACCCCACGGACTACGTGCTCGATATGGACAGCGTGGGTTCCGTGGGTGGCTGGCCAGGTGGTGTGTTCAAGGGATTGTCAGACGATTCAACAGAAGGGTCTTGGGCAACGGAAACTAGTGGGCAAACTACTGGGCGCCCAGGAGGGGCATCAAATAACCCGAACAGTCTTGAAGCAGAGAAGCGCAGTGAGCAAGGTCTTTGAAGCATTTGGGCTCAGCTCAGCTGCTTGATCTACTTCCGTAGAGTTAAACCGAGTTCAATATATTATTATTCAAAACACACAAGCTGGAAAGAGGACAAAGACAGAAGCTGGACAAGTAGCATATGTATGCATATGTCCGACCTGGAAAACTATCATGACTGCACTGTTTCCTTTCTTGTGGGTGTATTCTTGAAGCTAGAGGAGTTGTCAAGACTTGCTTATACTTGCTGTCGGGGGCCCCTGATCTTGATTTCCCGTTGTAGGACACGCAGTACTACGTGCTGTTGACGGTTGGCCAATCCATCAAGGTGGGCTACCACGGAAATTCGCGCACGCAGACCTTGGTGTGCGTCTCCACACTGTCAACCAAAGGCCTGGAAAGTGTGGAAGTGGAGTGGAAGGGAGGACTGGGGTGACGGTGGCTGCCAGGTGGCTATGGGTCTGGGAGGTGTGATGAGTTGAGGTGTGGTATGCCACGCGATTGCAGCAACCCTTTATTTTGCACGAGTGTTATTCACGTAACAGTATACGAGCAAGCAGTTCACACCGGCTCACAAGGTGCGACTATGTGCGACTTATGCATGATGTCTATTTTCCGTAATGAATCATGGTGTAAGACCCCAGATGCACACCGTAGGACCTAGACAGTTGGCAATGAGAATCGATGATTGTGTTCCAAATGTTTTTCCCTTCAAAAGTTCTGAAGTCTCACTGCCTCATGATGGGTCCGCTGCTGAAGCAGCTGCTCCCTGCTCGACTCTCCCTGTCTCGCTAGGTGAATGCAAGCTGGCCTCTGATTGGACTGGGCCTCCTGGAGATCAAAGCATCCAGATGTCATCCTCCACTCTGAGCCTCTTTGGAGTTCCCTTGCTGCTCGCGCTGGCTCGTGTAATGTGATCCTTTTCGGGCGGGGTAACGCTGGAGCTGATGGGGTGGTACAAGTTGAAGCTGACATGGTGATGGGCTTTGAATAGGTTGATTCATGTCCAACCAGACGTGGACCTCCATGTCACATATGTCACCAAACCCAATCCATGTGAAGGAAATCATCAAACCATATCAAACCCAGGGTTCAAGATGCTTCTATTTTTTCAGCTTTGTTCTTTGTCCGTTCTTCACTCCAGCCTGCCGTTCTCGCTCGGGATCTGGGGGCCGGTCAGGCGCAAGACACAACCGTAATTCGCGAAAAGGAACACGACGGGAGCACAGTGCGGCTTGCGCCGGAGATGCTGCAGTCATGGGTAGTCATGTGAGATGACTTGTGATCGCTGATCCCTTGGTGACTTGTGATATCTTGTGATTATGTATATTATCATTGAAATCCCTGGTCTGCAGTATCTTTCACCCAATCGGGTTCTTTAAAGGAGCCTTGCCCAGGACCGAGATAGAAGGCCAATCTGCAGACGAAGCTGTCATCCAATCATATCCAATCTGTGTTGTCCCCTGAAATTGTTTTATAGCAACAAGTGTCAGAAAGCTTCATTCTTTTTCCACGCAGGAAATGGCCTGACGCTCTCTTCTGTTCCCTCACTTTGCACGATGAATAGGAATACTGCAGATGGTGCTCCCAGCAATCGAAGGAATTTGTCGGATGGAACAAGTCCATCTGGTTGCCAGGGCTGCCATCATTTGGGACCATGAAATGGCAGGGTGGTTGGCAAAGACCACCATTCTTGTCTTCTGGGGCTGAGTTGAAGGGGACAAAGTGAACGGCCCTTTCTTCATCGCCAGTTGATTAAACTTCTAATGACATCTATATACAAGGGCAGATGAAACTCTTTGGAGAGCCACCACAGAATCAAGGCAATAGGGATGAAGAGGGCAACTTTATGTAGGAACATCTCGCAACCTTCCATCATGTTTTAAGATGTTTTAAGCCAGTGTGATCTCCTTCATGTTCAAAGTCGCCTCTGCAAACGGTGGACTAGACCTCTGCACAGGACACTGTCGGATAGACAGTTCCTTTGCTTGTTTTGTGGTCTATAGTTGTTGCAGTTGGATGAGTTGTGCGCATCTCAGGGCTTTGTTGGGCAGGCTCTCCATGGCTTTTTGTATATTGGAGTCTGCGACAGTCAAAGTCAAACTGCTGCACCAAAAGAAGACTGCTACACCGCTACACCAAACTAAGTCATCGCTGTTCTTTCTGCACTATATAAGTCATCGCTTCATTCTGCCTAAACACTTCGGTTGGACGTGTCGTGTTGGTGGAGAGGCCGGCACACAGACCTGGAGGCGTGTAGCGGAGAGGCCGGGAAGGTCAGTGATGCGAACGAGCAAAGCTGATCTTCAGTGGATACGTTAGGGAAGACGTTTGGAGTCTATATTATAAGTATAAACGGTATAGGGCCCTTGCACATTTGGGACTATGAGTTGAATCTATTGTATCCGTCAACATCTTGGAGCAGTGTGGACATGGCAGAAAGGGACATTTGGCCTGCCGGGGCTCCTTTTGCTGGTCGCTTTTCGACCTTACCGGGCCCAGCACAATTGTCACTTTTGCCTTGGCACCTGCCTACTTTCCTTTGCGAACAGGGGGACTTCCATGTCGATCATGAAATATGTCGATCAATGCTGCCCCTGAAAGGCATGATGTTCGCACGAAAGATGCTTGCCCTTTGCAGGATCGTGGAGCAGATCAAGCCAGGACAAAAGCCATATTGGCTGAACCCGCCTGCATTGAAGTGCGCAGCCACCTCTTTCAGCCGAAGGCCACGTGTGGTGATTCAACTCCTGTAGGCTTGAAGTTCCAACTCCTAGGCTTGAGGCAGAGTTTCTGGAGATAGACTGAATGCGGGCGATCCCAGGGGGGTCCCCAAAATGGTGAGCCCTTGGCTGGCTGGTGGCAGGGACTGGGCTCCAACCCACACATCCGGCCCTAGAGAGAGAAGCCATGCAGGTACGCGATCCATGAAATCCAACGAGGGAGAAGCCAGTACAGGAGAGGTGTTTTTTTGCGATGTCAGAGCCATCATGGTACACTGCAAACATGGAGCAATTTGATTGAGATTAGTGGGATGCCTGAAAGCAGCATTGGGCATCCAAGCTCATCCAGGATCATGTTGCAGTCCTTCCTGGCCTTCTTAAAGTCCAATGAAGAGAAGGAAACTTGGCTTCGAAGCTGAAGTACTGCGAGCGGCTTTCCCTCAATGTTGGACCTGTGGATGGTTGTTTCATATCGTTTCAGTTGCACGGACCTTACTGTTTTGCCTTGGTGCTGTTGTCCCCTGCTTTGAGTAGAGAAGCGTTTGCAACCCGGTCCATGGGCCAAGGAGGGCCAAGGGCTTTGTTCTCATTCGTTGGCCATGTTGAGGTGAAACCGAGATGGTGACTTGATCCTTTTCAAGTGAAAAAAGGGAGCCAGGCAACTCCCAGCCTCAAGTACCATCAAGTATACCTACACACTTACTCGCATCATTTGGGGATTTTGGGCAGGTCACAGAAAAGAGCTAGTTGAGTCATCCAAGTCCAAGATCGAACCCCACAGCCGCCCAGGAGTTCCTCGCAGCACCCTGCGTCTTGGCGAATCGCCGTGGAGGCGCGCGGTGTAGGGGACCGGGCGAAGACGCGCTGCGATTGGAACATGCCACCGGAGGGAACAGACGGTCAGTCTAAGAGAGCAATGCATTCTTGGTGGCCCCTTTCGGGATCTTGGAAGGTGTTCATGTTCGAACAGCGCTTTTATCTTTTGGGGGTGATGAAACTTCTGCACTTCTGCCACAGTTCGACATGGAAAGTTGGGGATAGACATCTCAGCTGGACATGGAGAGCATACATGGGCTTGCTACATCTCTAATAGGGAGGTTCCCCGGAACAGCCTCAAGGGTCCTTAACGATCTGAAAGGGCCTCGAGCGGCGAACACTGACGATGACAGTCTCCTCGTTTGGACGAGCAGTCGTGGAAATTCAATCCGGGAAAAGCATGGAAAAGCCCCAATTAGGCAGATCAGTGAAGCGGAGACCTTGTTTATGAACTCTTCGTGACCTAGCAGTTTCAGATGCACAGATTGTCCATTGCAAGCTGACACCCAGGTGCTGAGTGTCCGATCTGTTTGGAGCCACTGTGCAGGCGGAAGATTTCTCACGCGGTCACCGGGCGGTCACGCGAGACGGTTTTGGTGTGGAACGCTTTTCATCGAGTCGAACGTGGCTGTTCATTCAAGTGAGTTGAACAAATAAACCCAGTAATATGTATTAAGTAAGGAAGGTTCCCAGAGGTTCAGAAATAGCTTGGCCACCGCTTGGTATTCTGTTGCTTAACTTGGAGATGCGACCTTGTCGCGCTAGCAAAACGCAGGGTTGCGCTAGGTTTGGAATTGCTGTGACTTGAAGCTAGGATAATGATTTTAGAACGGGTTATTTTTTCAGCTCAAGTGTTTTGGCCGGTGACCTCCTCTCTTGTTTTCAGCTAATCTTTCAGACCGTGTCAAAGCTTTGGAAAGCAACCAGGTTGCGAATGTCATCTATCATTAGTGAGAGCTGGGTACCTGGTCTTGGGTATGCTCATCAGCCCTGGGAACTGATTTCAGAACATATGAAAACATCATAGAATATTCAAAAACATTATATAAAATTAGCTTTCATTATAAAACATTGAAACAAATTATTCCACATAAAAACACATTATTTCACATAAAAACAAATTATTTCACATCAAAACCAATCATCCCAAAGTCACATGCCAAGGCTGCAGCTCTGCAGTGCATTCAGACACTTTTTTCCTTGTCGCACTACTTCCTTTGGTACTTCTTGGGTGGAGGCAAGGAACTCACAGAGTCATTCAACTCTGAAAGGATGTCCTCAGAAATTACACCTGGCACCTGGACAGCATCAGCTGCTAAGCTATACTCAACTTGATGTGACAGCTTTTCCTGCCACACCTGCCAAGCATGCTGATGTACCACAGAAAGCTTGCTTTTCCATGACTCAGGATCCTGATGTTGAAAGGATCTGCTGAAAGAAGAAATATGAAGTGAAGGTAGGAAACTGGCTGTCCATCTGTGGTCATTTCCTTAGTTGTTTCACATGCCCTCTGCAATATTGACCATACAATTAAAGAAATAATATATATAAAAGTGAAACCAACACATGTACCCACAAAAGTAAAAGCCACTGTACCCACAAAAGCCCCTGTAAAATTGCTAGCCAGCCGCCATTGAGCCTGAGGGTGCATCCAGGAGGGCTGATCCTTCCAAGGGTTGCAGGAGATGCAAACATCTTGGGCCCTCTGAACCTGGCTGCAGCTACTGCTTGTGATGATGCTGGTTCCTCAGCAACAGTATCAGCTTGTGATGGTGCTGCTGGTGGTTCTTCAGCTGCTTCAGCTGCAAGGGCCTCAGGTTGTGTGCAGGTTGGCTCAGCTGTGAGTGGCTCAGGTGGCTCAGGTGGGGCTGTGAGTGGCTCAGGTGGCTCAGGTGGTGCTGTGAGTGGCTCAGGTGGCTCAGGTGGTGCTGTGAGTGGCTCAGGTGGCTCAGCTTCAGCCATAGCATGTTCTGGCACATGCTCACCAGGGCTTGTTGGTGAAGGAGGTGTTGTTGGAACATAGTCATCCATGTCTATGTTGTAGATGGCTGGCTGGCCATCTGCATGCGATGGTGCTTCTGCCAGTGGCAATGTTTCTAACTGTGTTGCCTTTGCTTCCTCTACCTGTGTTTCATCTGGCTCTTCTACCTTTGTTGACTCTGGTACTTCTAGAACTTCTAACTTTGGTGTCTTTTTGGACTTGGCTTTGGGTTGTTTCTTTGCCATTGCTTTGGCTTGTTTGCCTGCAATGGCTGGCTGGCCATCTGCATGTGATGGTGCTTCTGGCAGTGGCAGTGTTTCTGCATTTGCTTCATCTGGCTCTTCTACCTTTGTTGACTCTGGCAATTCTGTAACTGGTGACTCTGGTGTCTTTTGTGATTTGGCTTTGGCTTTGGCTTGTTTCTTGGCCATGGCTTTGGCTTGTTTTCCTGCCATGGCCCTGCCTCTACCTTTTCCTTTGCCTTTCCCCCTGCCCCTACCTCTGCCCCTTTTTGGTATCAACATCATTTCACCTTCTTTAACTTTTGGCTTTAGAAGCCTTCTCTTTTTGATCTTTTTCTGATCATTTCTAATGTCTGGGTCATTCTGCATCTCTGTGTCAGCTTCTAGCAACTCAATGAGTTCACCCAACTCTGAAAGCCTATCATCATCTTCATCTTGCTCTGCAACTTTGGCAGTTGACTCTTCCAATGCCTTCTGAACTTCTGCATCACCCTGCACAAACTGCTCAATCAGTGCTTTGTAGACCTGGGCCTTGCTGGGCTGCCCAGGCAATTTCACATTGCAAGCAAAAAGAACTTCTTTGGCCTCCTTAACAGTTAGATCAAGACCCTTTGCAATCCTGACTTGGGGGAGAGGCATGGGGTCACCAACCTTGTTCAAAATCAGTGCACCATGCTCATGGTGGAGGCATGGTTCCACTGGAATGTCAAGCCACTGATCCAAACTTTGAACATGGTGGAATTGCAAAGCTGACTCTTGAGGAATAGGCTTGTATGCAATGGTTGCACTGTCAGAAACTGGTTCCATTACCCAAGCCAAGAAGCCACTTGGGGCCCTGCTAAGCACAAGGCACACCAAAGCCTGGTCCTTGGAAACAATGACAGAACCAGGCTTTCCAACTAGGCAATTCAGTTGTGGTGCATCAAGAGCAGGCTTGCTCAAAAGATACTCCAAAGCAGCTACCTCCTCAAACTGGGTGGCAGCACTGGTGCTTGGCCAAAAATGGTTTGAGCTCTTGTACTTCATCATTTCTTGAAACTCCTTCCTCATGTGATGTGCATTTGGATGTGTGGAGGGGATGAATGGAGGCAGGTCTTTCACACTAGTCAGGCTCAGTTCTATCTCAGGGATTGAGACATGGGGTGTTTTCCTAGTCTGAAACAACCTGCTGTTTAGCACAGCGCATTGCTTGCTTACCCTGGACCTTTGGTTATGTCTTGATTCCCTAAGGTTGTCCTTGGCGCTCTGGTGGGTGTTCTCCACACAAAGAGTGTCTCCAAAGTTCACTATCAAAGGCTTGAGCAGCTTTGCTGCCTCATGGCTTCCACTATGGCAATCAGTCTCATTCAACAAAAAACACAGTCTGCAAAGAGCACCCTGAAGGCAATGGAGAGAGGACAGGGACTTCACATGTTTGCCTTCCAGATCTTTGCCTTCAAATTCAAGAAGCATTGTCCATTCTCTCTGCATTTGCTGCTGGGTTGCACAAACCACTGCCTCATTGGTGGAGAGCAAGTTTGAATACCTAATTGGTGGCCTGCAATATTGGGAACTAAGGGAGCTTGCCCTTTGGGCCATCAAATTGACAACAAAGTCAAAATGGATCTGCAACCTTGCTTTCTGTGTGGCTTCACTGGTGGCTTGAAATGGATACAGCCTTTTCAAATTGCTTCTGGAAAAAAAGCCCTGCAATACCAGCTCACAAATTTCAGCCTTCCAAGCACCATTGCTTTTAGCAATGGTATGTTTTGCAGAGTCTGTTGGTGTCAAGAGATGCTTTGACATCCAGCTGTGTGAAGACCAGCAAGGGTTTGCAAGAACAACAATCGCCTCTTTCTGCCAAAAGCTGGCAGGGGTGATGAGAAGTGGGGCAAGCCCCCAGCTTCCATGCTTAGCCTTCAGCTGCTGGAGTTGCTGTTTGTCACTTAGCTTGCTGTCAACCCCTGGCACAGACATGGCCTCTTCAGACCTCACATAGGATGTGCCCTCTGTGACTGTAAATTTGTCAGTTTCCAACATCACAAGTTTTGTCAGCCATACTTCACCTTCAAAGAATTTGGAAGACTGGAAGAATGAATAGAACCTCATGATTTTTACCACAGGGCCAAGGTTCCTAATGCTGTTGCAATCACCAAGGGATTCAAGTAGCTTCTCTCTACCAGCAGGTGTTGTGGGTTCTTCTATTTGCCTTTCCTGGCATATGAAGGGAATGTAGGATAAGAATGGTTCTTTGTGTGCTGAACATGTCTGCAACAACTCTTCAGCTCTTTGCTGTTTCTTGGCATGCCATTGCTTGCTGCCAAAAGGCCCATAATTTACATTATACAGCAAACTGTATGATAAAAGGCATCTCCACAAGTCACCCTTGCTGCACCTGAGACTGTGCTTTACATCATTCCAGCTTCGGTGGTATGGGTCATATCCTATGTGTATGCTCATCCCCAATTCGAAGCAAAGGTAGTCAAGACCAGCTCTGTTGATCCCTCCCTGGTCAGAGAGGCTGCAAAGTATTGGTGTTTTGCTGATGCTAAAAGTGGTTGGGAGTTGTCTCACTTTAGATCCTGTCCTGGAGTCCAAAATCCACCACACACCATCTTCAAAAACCCTCTTCTCAAAGTCATGCAAGGGTCTCCAATGCACATCCTCTCCTAAGAAGAAAGTGCTGAGAGGCTTTCCTACAGCTTTTAGGCTGTGTGACAATGCTCTGATTTCTGCATAGCCTTGGATCCTTGTTAATTTGTTACTTGCACTCAATGCTCTGATTTCTTCACAAACTTCCTGCTTGAGAACTGGCTTTAGATTTTGGATAGGCAAGTAGGCAGCTAGTCCATCAGGTGTTTGGCCTGCCTGAGTGGAATGGATGATGCTCACAAGTGTTTCTACATCATATCCTGAAGGGTCCCAGGCCACAGTGAAATGGAAAGCTTCTTCATATGCCTGTTGAACTTTTTTGGCATAGAGCGATGCACAAATGAACTGTTCTGCTGCAACCATGTGAGCATTCTTGGGAACTAAGTCTTGATGCGACTCCATTGTGTTCCTTCTATGGGCCTTAATCTGCCTCATTTTCTGAAGCAAAATCAGTTTGTTTACCCAGGGAACTCTTCTGCTTTTGCCTTTGGCAGTTTGAAGCAAAGGGAGCTGCTCAATGGGTTTCCTTGATTTTTCAACTGCAACTGCATCCAAAGCCCTTCCACACACCCACAAGGCCTGGGGCCAAACAAGTTGGCCAAAGTTCTGCCAGATTTTTTTGGTAGCAGGGTTGGCTTTTGCCCACAGAAGGAGGACTAAGAAGTCCCACAGGGTAGGGCATGAACTACTTGA